ATCTAAATTACCTATTGGTATCTGTGTCGAAGCCAAGTTCTTCAGCTTTTTTCAATAATACTGTTCTATTTTATAGCACTTTCTAGCGTGAGTATTGTAAGTTCTATATTTGAAAAAAGTTAATTTACTGTATTCATTACAAGATATACATAAGGGAGAGTTCCAATAAACTTGGCATCCTTCTAGTTAGTAGTATCCCTATTGCAAACTTCACTACTCCTGAGAATATAAGAGCATTGATAAAATACCATTTTTAATAACTATGAATAGTTGATTTATATATCGATTTATGTATTTTAGAATTAATTTTTATTTTAAACTTTTTTCTCTTAGAATATATATATTCTCTTGAACTGTATATTTGTGATATTATACCATGACCCAATCCAAGCTTTCAAAGAATTTGGACAGCCCCGTTCTGTACTATTGTAGGTTAAGAGCTTCTAATATAAGTACATGTTTATATCAAATTCATGATAATAGTATTAGATCAAGAAATTTTCTAGGCACAGACAATGAGGATGATATCAAAGCCATATTTTCAGACTATGAAGGCTATTCATTGTATGAATTTATTAATAGCGATAAGCTACTTCAGCCTATTATAGATTTTGATTTGCTATGAGAGGTACACGATAGCATTGAACCTAAGTTTACATGTAAAGAGATACTAGATATACTCAATTATGCCTTTAGAGATGTTTGTCTTAAAATATTTCCAAAGTAGGAAAAAAATAGTATTACTATTGCCAGTAGTACTGATGCAAAAAAAATATTCCTTCACATTTTTACTACTGGTATTAGACTTAAGAATATTGCTTAGGTCACAATATTCACTAAACTTGTCTGCAAGAAACTTCTAGTGTTTCTTCAAGGGAATAATATTATAGATAATATTACGAATAAACATTCATTTTCCTTGTAAATGCTTAGTTCACCTAAGTATAATGAAAAAACAAAAGAGCATGTTCGTATGAAAAAAGCAATACATTCCAAAGAAGGAACTATTTTTGATTTCATAATTTGCTTACCAAATAATGAATCAGAAATTGCAAAAAGTCCTCTCTTAATTGTTCTGGAACTGGAAATAAGAAGATATCTTAGCATAAATAATGTCATCACCAATACTGAATTTGAACTGGTAGAAGAATTACTTCAAGAAGCTAGCATCAAAAGGTATAGTCTCTCATACCTATCTGAAAACTTTCCTAACAAATTTCCATTATCACATATCTCTTCATCACACTGTCTGATATATAACCGAGAACATAATAGTAATAATATCTATATAATATGAAATAAAATTTATATAGTTTTTACTACTACTAAGCAAACCAAAATAGGCAATCTGAATCGAAAAAGCCTTCGAAAAAACTTACTATTAATAAAACTATTTTGAATTAAGAACAAAAACTTCCAAATCCTATAAAACTAAAATGATCCAGAATTTCAAATCTCAATAATCACTTTGTATAGGATGATTTAATTGATATGTATGTATCTGAACAGAAATTTTCTTGTAATGAGATTTATGATGCAATTCAGGCAACAGTTGCCTGTATTTAGATGACATCAAGATTATGAATGCTCAAAACAGGGGATATGAATAGTGGACTGTATTTTGATATGACACTAAAACTAGATCTTGCTAAGTATGAAATTTATTTAGTTGAGCTAGGAGAAGAAGCAATGAAGTTAATTAATTTAATAGATCGAGCAGTTACCAAAGGTCTAATCCTTTACTGCAATATTAATTTTCTACTATATCTACTAAATACTCCAGCTCATAATACAAAGTTCTTTAACCTTTTTATAGGATTTTTAGCCAAACCAGTAGTAGAGATAAATAATGAAATTATAAAACTGATTCTCTGGTATGTAAAGAATGTAATCTGTAGTAAGGATGAAAGACTTGATGAATATATTTAGAACTAGTAGGCATATTTAGTACAGAAGCCAGAGAAGAAGACCCGAACTATCTTAATGCTAAAATCTATATTACAACAATATAGGAAAAATATTATCACTAATTTTATTAGTGACAAAGTTCTGAGGTCACACCTCCATTTCACGACATTAGATTTAGAAAAATTTTTTGATGCTTTAATAGTGCTATTCAAGCTCGAAAGCTTATTATTATGAATAAAACTAGAATATTGAATAGAGAATAGCATAGATTTAACGGGCATCTCAAATCACTCATAACAGAATGAATAGTAGCTATAGAGTATAAGAGCCTTGAAACTATATGAATAAATAATTATGCTGAATATATAGCTACAAGTAATCAGAATACCTTACTCAAAATAGATATAGGAGATTCTTGTATAATCTGTTTTGATGTCTTAACATATTATAGAACTAATATACCATATTTTAACTAGCTAGGAGAAATTATAGACTATCCTAATGCACCAGGAGTAGTTATATCATATCTTCTTAGCTATAATTTATCAAATTGGAGTTCTAGAAAAATTCCTGCAACCAAAATAAAAGTAGATATAATATGTGAACAGCTTCTAAATCCTTCCTAATTTTTAATTGACCACATTGCATCTTGAATTGAGAATAGTGTATTCATGTTAAGTAAGAAAGTATTATATCAAAAATATCTTAAATAGTGTGGGAATAATGGTAAAAAGCTATTATCTAACAATATTTTCAGTAAGAAGCTATCAG